CCTGGTTGTTCCTGTTCCAAAAACTAGAAGTGACAATAATGGCTCCACCGCAGGCGTGGAGCAGCAGCAGCAGTAGCTGTGTTTCTAAAATGCCTCGCTGCTGGTCAAATTCAGCACAGAGCAGGAAAAGCTAGACAATACTGGACTGTGGAATCCACAGATTTAAAGAGATGCTGAGCAACACCTGCTCTTCACTGCTGATATGATGAAACACTACCACATAGTCGACTCAAGAGGTCACCAAAGTAATCAAATTTCAGATCCCACAGTTTTTATCTGCAACCATCAAGCAGAAACCTTGATCATCAGGCAGGAACTGTTCCTGTTTCTGTCTGAGCTTTTAGAGCTTTGAAATGTACTCTGGGTCTCTAGGATTCTCAGCAGCAGTTGCACTGACTTGTGGGCACCTTTAATGCTGCTGGCTGAAGACAGAGCAGCAGACTGTGAGCGAGCACTTCCTTCTCTGCACGGGGACATCATTTCCCAACCACAACTGTTCCCACATCCTGTATGACGAGAAGAATGAGAACAGTACGTACTGTGTAGTTCTGCAGCACACAGAACAAACTAGTTTGGCACAGACATCCGACTTCATGAGCACATCCTGACCAAACCCATAACTTGACTTGGTTGGAGACAAATGTAGTTTAATATTCCTTTATGAAAATAACAAATACAAAGGTTGATCTTTTCAAAATAGAACTAAAAAACACTGAGTGCAGGTAAGAAAAGCTACGGTGAGGAGCTTTTGAGCAGCTTCTCAGCAGATGACCCAACAACAGCTTGGAAGAGCCCAGTCTCTCAACCTCCGAATGGCTTCTTCAGTTTCAGAACTCTTGCTCAGTTCTGGAACAGAAGGTTAAAACAGATAATGGAGGAAGCTGTCTTGAGTGTGAGCTCAGCTGACGTAAACCAGAAAACAGGAAACTGACCCAGTAGAGCTGATGTTGCATTTTCTTCATAGAGGTGGGAGATACACATCACAGATGACAGTATTTGCAATTTTACATCACGGAGTGTTCACACCGTCTGAAAAAGAACCAAATTCACGGTGCATATAAGGTGGGGGAGACAAACCTCATTCAGGATGCGAACTTCAATAAGTGCCACTTTCTCTTTGACCATTTCATAAAAGCAAAATGGAGAATGCAGGTACAGAGTGGAAATTCTAACAAGAAGAGTATCATGTGGATTCTTTGTACAACAGCAGATTGAACTACAGATCGTCTTGAATCAAAAATCGTTTTGGAATCATGGCCCCAAAAGTTGTAATTGAAACATAAGAGTGAAAGATTCCCACTTCTTGTTAGTACTATTATTACAACAAATAATAATGGAATATTTCTACCACACAATTTACTCCACATACTATCTTTTATTCCTTTAAGAGGTTATATCGTTGCTATTGTTAGGATGGGGCTGGATTTTAAGTGCGAGATCACTCACACTCCAAAACCGAGTTTGACAACAAAAGCATTGCGTCTAATATCTATGTTTGGGTTAACTTTTCTGCTAATTGTTTGACTGAAATTAATTATTGATATAAAAAACGAGTACTGTCAGAGTGAAAAAAGATGCAGTGTGATTCCTGAGTGGTATCAGTAGAACATCGAAGTGTAAAGATCAGTAAAATGCATCATAACTTCACATAGAACAGACTGTAGGTGCAGGACTCAACTTTGAACAAAGTTCATCATATTTGCGACTCAGTCTTCTCTGATTGTTACACCTGGTGCTCTGATATTTTATTTTTGAGGCTACACCAGAGCAGATGAAACATGACACAGGTCTATTATCATGGCAACTGGTACCACAGAATAAGAACACCAGATGGTGTTTTCATTAAAGAATTCAGGCTGATGGAAGAATTAACCGAGTCACTCTGTACCCGCTGCACTTATCATATTACATCAAGTTCTGTGGATGTTGGAAAAACATGAAGGTCAATCTCTGAGGGGATGTCAGATACACGCCATGTTTAGGTGTTCCTGTTCCACTGTGCACAGTCATGAGCATGACCTGGAGACTTGGAGCTGAGCACTACCAATTATTATGACCAATAATTCATGCAGTGCTGCAGCCTGCTTACATGAGCTGCATAATGTATGACAAAGAGACTGTTGATTCGTGAGTTGCTGTTGTTGCTTAAGGGGTCTTTCATAGAGCCAAAGCACATGTTGGACAACACAACTTGGCAACTGGCCTCTGCTTTTGTGATGACATAGGCTACGATTCCATAACAAATGTGGGGAAAAAACCCCTTTGAGAATCTGCTATTGTGAAAACATTACTTATTATAAACCTGTGGTTGGTAGGGTTGACTATGCTCATACCGAGGATGCCTTTATATGTCAATTTTCCGTGAAAATGTTTTTGATTTGATGTGTGCAGACCTGGATGCCTTTTTTTTGTTTGTTTTTTTTGTTTTTTTGTTTGCCTCTTAAGTTCTCAATGTGGGGTTGTGGGGTGGGATTGGGAAGGGTTGAATATTTGTATTTGTGTTCTGAAAAATAATAAAAATTTTAATAATAAAAAAAAAAAAAAACAAATGTGGGGAAAACTTTGATATTATCCTAATGTGGAAAAAACACAATTTCAATATTGCAGTGTTTCCATTAAATAAGAAACACAATTATAAGTTATAAGTTTGTTCATATAATGAGTCATTAAAAAACAATTGTAACATCCGGCTGGTGATCATGTGACTCTCAAAATGAAGAAACTGTTTCCATTGCAGTTTTGCAAAATAAACCAATTCTGATATCCACCTCATCCTAGTGCCAAAACCTATTAATAAATAAGTTTTTTAAACTGGTGGGTATCCATTCAGCAAATTTATTTTCTAACTATCAATTTTTTTTTACTTCATGAAGACGGTCCATCTGAAATCATGATATGAATTTATAGGTAGGATTTCGCAAGTTTCTTACTTCTTCCTACTCCTTTTCGAGCATGTTACGATTATTGTGGTACAATATTGTAGTGTCTTTTGTAATCCTTCATGTATATTATTTTCTACTACTATTATGTTTGGAATAAATAAATAAATATACAATAAATAAATTCCGCAATCATATGATCAATAGGCATGCAGCTTTGAAGCCCTTAAAGCAAATTTATGCAGAAGGTTCATCAACTAAAGAAGTTCTGATCTGATCCCAACCATCTTCACATGAAGCGTCGGCTTCATGTGAAGATGGTTGTATTTTAAACAATCAGTACACAATCGATACTGTTGACACAGTATGCTCTGTTAGTGTATGTATTGCATGGTAGTAGAAAAAAAGCAAAGTGGGATTCTGTCAAGTGATGTGTGCCTGTCAGCGGTTACTGCCTAGCCACATTTGGCTGCAAGGGCAATCATGTGACAGTCAAAGTGGAGTTCAGAGAACAAAGCTGAACTGTACTGTTCCATTTGGGAACATGTGAGCAGTTCACTAAAAGCTCCTCTGGCTATTTTCCTGCTGATTACAGAGAGCTATTAAAGCTTAGGGAAATATTCTGATGCGCATTTAAGGTTTAGAAAGAAGAAAATATCGAATAAGCAAAAGTTGTGTGCAAGTCAACTGGTAGCAGACTGAAAATGCACCATGATGCACCATGATGTCTATGTTGCAGTAAATCACATCATGGCCTTACTGCTTTGTGAAAACAAATATCCAAAAACCAAATGACTGCGAGTTGAACTACAGTCCACCACAGTAAGATGTGTCTCTTTGCTGTAGATCTCTGATGCTGATATTTGGATATTTTAAACCTTCCTTTTCATTCTGCTCAGTGTTAGTGGTACCAAGGCTAATAGAAGTGCTAGTCCAACCTAGTGGGCAGTGTTTAAAAAACCGTCCTCTGTGTCACAACACAGAGGTGGGGACTCATGTCACATAATTTGGAGTCAGACTCGAGACATTAAAATCAAGACATTAAAATCAAGACTTGAGACTTGACTTGACAAAATACTCAATGAATCGGACTTGACTTTGACTTTCACACCATTGACTTGGGACTTGAAGCTCTTTACTTGAAAAGACTTGATATTTTACTCAAAGTCTCAAAACCTAAAACATTATTTATATAGTGGCCCCATTAATTCATTCCACACATTCTGTATTAACAAGGTAGACTGTCTCTCTGTTTTTCCGCACTCCATATGTATGTGTGCGTAAGCTGCAGCACAACCCATCAAATGAACAGGATTTAAAAATAACAATGGGGGGAAAGAAACAAGAAATGAAAAATGCTTAAAGGAGATATGCTCCTCTTATCTTTCACTTGTCTGTTTAGTCATGCTGTATATACGGTGGCTGTAGATTTAACCCCACTTGGACTGACAGATATTTATTTTACCATCACATCCAAATTCAAAACCACTGTGCTTTATTTGCAATGAGTGCATTGTGTGTTTGATTTTAAAATAACTCATGGTCTATTATTCACAATTAGCATAATTGAGAAATTGCTTAAAACAACAACAAAAAACGACTCAAAAAGTTTTGAAATTCCAAGCTCCTGACTTGAGACTTGACTCGACTTTTGCCTCTCTTTACTTGAAATTTAACTCGGACTTGAGGACCAAGACTTGAGACTTATTTGAGACTTGCAAAACAGTGACTTGGTCCCATCTCTGTCACAACATATGGAAACCCCAGGAAACCAGGAAGTCATCCATTGCTAATTAATTGCACGGGAACCGATCCACTTAAAAGATTTTAAATAAAAAAATACTTCTGCTACTTTATTTTTAAAGAAGCTTCACAGAACTCAAAGTAATTATTTTATAGTTTTTTTCCCCCTATTGCCTATACATTATCAAGTCAGATAGCTAATAAAATATCAGCTTAACTGCACTTGTCATTGTTCTAATTCCAGAATACACAAGGACATGCGATTGAGTGTTTAAGTGGTCACAGCAGGGAGGTCTAGTTTAAACAGACACTGTGTAATGGCATTCTGCAGAGTGCAGGGTTCTGGCTGTGTGGAACTGACATAAATGTAGATCTTACCAGAGGAAGGGTTGAGGGCTGAGTGTGAGCTGAGCTGAGGAGCAGCTGAGCTCCCCGAGAGGTACACCTATGAAAACACACACATATACAAAACCCAGTTAGACCATTGTATGAACAGGATCACATTTGTAGTCCAGCACTGCAAACCAACAGGTCCTGCAGCAACATAAAAGCCTGAACAAAGCTGTTAGCATAACTCTGGGAGAGTTCTGGAGCAAAATTCCTCTGACAGGATATGAGTCTAACCTCCCCAACTCACACACTTATTGTAGCTATCTTTCCATTAAATTTAAATTTAATAGAAACATGGCAATTTTGAAAAACAAGCTTATTCACATGTGATTTGCAGATTTTACACTAGGATGAGGTGGCTTGTCAGCAGTATTGAAATAGATGTATTTCACAAAACTGCAATAGAAAAACTTTTTTCACATCACACGAGTCACATGATCAACAGCTGAACTTTATGACTGATGGAAACGGTGACAGGAAGTATTAGGATGATGGTTTGTTTTTGTTGTTTTGGGACAATCTCCACAGAGTTGTGTGATTCAAAAGTTAAAATTGAAAATTCAAAAGTGTTGAATCAACTACAATTATATTCAATAAAATTCTGAAAATCTGCGTGCATTTTCAATGTAATTACAGCTGCTGTGACTAATCATACTATTCCTGCCTAAATTGGTGCTCAAATGTTATTGTTAGTGGTTCTGCAAGATGTCAGTATGAAGCAATACGACTGTGAGGACAGTTCAGTACTGCACGACATGATGCCATCAGACACCAGTTCTGACAAAAATTGGCTTTGCTGTTAACTTCAAATCAGACGCTCATCATCTGGCTGCTGTGAAAATACTGAAAACCACAGTGCTGTCAATCATTCTCATGTTCTGGCTGCACAATGTACTAATAGTGGAGAAACAATTTACTGTTACAGGAAAACTGTTTATCCACTATTATTAGTCTCCATGCTAACTCGCCTGAGCATTCACAACAGGGCAGTTTTGAGTTATTTTTCCCATTTTATAGCACTAAATGAATTATACATACTTCTCCAGGTTTCACTTTAATGGGCTAGTTCTACCGTGGCAACGCGGCTATGAACGGCAAGTAAAAGAATAATTTGATTAGACGGTGAAATAAATTTGTGGTAACAGTTTGATAAGCTATTTTGCAAATTACCTCATTTTGTTTGACATCCTCCATATAAAATCCAAACCAGTGCCAAATTATTGACAGAGTGTTTCTCTTCGGAACTAGACTAGTTCATTTGATTCCTCTTCAGTTACGTCTCATTCACGGCTTGCCTCAAACTCTCGCGTGTTTGGAGGGGGAAGAGATTATTCATACATTCATAGGGGTTGGATAAACCATACTCGCAGTGAATTTGACGGAGAAAGTTTATTATTTGAAAGACAATTTATACTTGATGGTTGCAGTATGGCCATTTTAACTATCGTAAATTGAAAACATTGCGATACATCTCCCAGCCCTACTGTGAGGTATTATGGTATTATGCACATTAATCCACTTCTATTTGGAAAAATAACAAAAAACAAAAAAGAACGTTCAATAACCTTTCCCTGAAAAACATGTTACATACATTTGAGACATGGATACAACTGGAATTTGCCTGTTTGCTCACCTACTACACCCTCCTTGAATGACTCACTCCAAGGACACAAACTAAGATACTAGCAACTAGACACACCATGATACTTTCAGTTTCCATGGTGATTTGAGTTATATTTAACAGAGTGACGCAGGTTCCTCATCTTCCCCATCAAACAGTGAGCTAAACTTCTGAATAGACCAATATAAATTCAAAATGACATTCACACTTTGTGTCTGGGGATGAAGACGAAGTAAAGAAGACAAGCAGACAGCTGCAGCTTGGGTGAGCTGCAATAATTAGAAAATGTCTTTGTGTGGTTAGGGCAGAGCTTCTACCCACCACTACTCTGTGTTTCAATTGGTGTGTGGGAAAACTTCATGGATGCAAAGCATCCTTGTTCCTGTAATCCCTGTTTGTGAACCCCCCACTTGATGTTTCCTTCTAATCTGAACAATGTGCTTATCTTCCAATCCCACCATTTCTTTTTACCACAGTTTTCATTCTGGATAGTGTTACAGCAACTCTTTACTCTTAAAATGAAAGCCATCTGGAAAGTTTCGTCAACATATTTTATGTTCTTTAGATTATCACATTCTCCTTTACATATAAAAACACCAACAAAGATATTTGATTACTTTAAATCTGGCATGAGATAACATCCAGCAACAAAAGACTTTCAAAAGGCAAATAATTCCTCTGTGGAAAATAAAATCCCAAGTAGCCAAAATTGGATTATTTCAGATGGCTGGCAGTTGAAGTGTAGTAACTATTTCCAGCAGCTCGCTCTAAAGTTAAAGGGGTAGAATTAAGTCAACTCAACTTTTCTTAGATTTTCTGAAGTTTTTCTGAGTTTTACCACATCTTACAATGTTATTCTCTTGTCAAAAACATGGAGTTCTTCGTTCTTTGTGCATGTTTGAGAAATCTTGTAGTCTTCGTGGCAACCAGTCAACTGAGCAAAATGTCGCCGCCTTTGAGACTCAACTCCTCCGCAGAGATGTAGTTTCTGAGCTTCTGCCTCACAAAGTAGTCCACCCAGGCTCACTGAGCTCCTTCAGATTTTCCAGCGGCAATTAGCAATGCTTGGTGGAACTGTGCATCTGCTGAGCTCATTATAGGATCTACTTCTCAGTGAAATGCTGGTAAAAATGCTATTAGAAGCTTAATAAAGGAGCGATGCCCTCCTGAAGGGCTAATTTCAGAAAGGGAAGAAGGTTTTAAAGAGACAGAATCCCAATTTCAAAGCATTAAATTAAAGTCAAATTTCTCTTAAGACATATTTGGTATATTATATTGTTACTTGTGTTACTTGATTGTGCTATAAAATGGCACTATGTGCCTGAAAAACAAATAATACTGCCCCTTTAACCAACAAATCGCACAACTTTGGAAATATCGACTTTCCACTTGCCAAAGTTTATGACTCAGGATGGACCATACGTTTTGCACTGAATAGTTGCCATGGAGATTAACAGATTGGGAACATGTGTGAAAACATCAATGGAACCCTCCAGGTGTGTTTTTGATGAGGACACATTATAAAGTGATGTAAAGCAAAAAATATAGATTTTACATAATAGTGCTCCTCTAAGAAAATTGTATTTAATCATTGCGACATCCATCCATCCATCCATCCATCCATCCATCCATCCATCCATCCATCCATCCATCCATCCATCCATCCATCCATCCATCCATCCATCCATCCATCCATCCATCCATCCATCCATCCATCCATCCATCCATCCATCCATCCATCCATCCATCCATCCATCCAATATCTTCTCTTACTAAATCAAAAATTTGATGCAGCCTAAAGTAATAATGATTAATGCAGAAACATGAAAAAAAAATTTGTCAACTCAGGATATCAGGAGGGACTTTAAGAGACAGCAAGACTGGTGGACAAGTGATGGTGTTTCTCTGGAAAAATAAATTTGTTGCTAATTACAATATTTTGCAAAATTTTTAATCTTAAGGATCTGAGTCTGAGCCTTCCTAATCCTCAACATCTGCTTCCTCATCTGGTTTGTCGTTTGTTGAGTTTTTGTGTTACAGCCGAGCATGTTAGCACACTGACATTACACCTACTATTTATATCTACCAGCCTGGAAATATTGATTCTGCACTTAATAAACTGGGGATTTTTTTGCAAAAATTGTAAAACTGTTAAACTGATTACTGATTGCAGCCAGATCCATAGATACACTGCAAGTTTAGTTAAAATATGTTTGTTTTACTTCACCTGCTGTACTTTGCTAAAATGTACTGCTTTTGTGAAGTCCGATCTAGGTAAGTTTCACTCTCAGTGGGGGGAATTGCCTGTTAACACAAGCAGCTGTCAAAGATGACTTTTTATAGGGTCCGGTTGTTTCGGATGTATTTACAGCAGCTAAAAAAAAGTTGGAAGGACATTGTCCAGCTATCATTTGGTGACCTGCAGGTCTATCTCACTTAGGTTATGCCGCAGGACAATGATCTAAAGCCCAGCAGTATGTCGACCTTTGAATAGAATAGAATAGAATACAATAGAATAGAATAGAATAGCATTTATTGTCATTGAACAGGATTCAACGAAATTTCTATTGCAACTCTCGTGCAAAAAGTCAAATATATACAATATTAAATAAACAAACACACAATAATAATAATAATAATATATACAACTAAAATTAACTAAAGGCACTCAACCACACCAAATGACTTTTACTATTATTAAAACTCTAACTTCTTCACCAGACATAGTAGCATGACATTAAGTGGCCTTTCATGCAGAAAGACTATCCAGTGTTTTTGAGTTAAAACAATTTTGCAAAGAATGAATCAAACTTTCATCACAGTGACATAAAACAGTCCCCCAAGGTAGCTGTGATTGCAACTAGTGATGCAAATTCACTTAACATTTGCAAGTTTTTCACAGACTTGCAGTTTTCAGTGCAACGTTATCTTCAATCTGGGCAATCACCTTAACATTTTCAATACTTCCTTCTTTACTGACCAATCAATGCAACTCAGCTGAATATTGACCAATCCTGTTGCCCCTTCGCAATGTCTCTTGAAAGCAGAACATGCAAGATGAATCGTGTGATAGTAACAGTCACCTTTTTTTTTCTTCAAAAAAACATTTAGAGATGTTCTGTATAATTTGCTTCTACTATGTAAACAGTTCATGTTAACAATATGGATTCTTCTTTTGCACTTTGACTTCTCAGGACATGATCTTACTTGTATTAAGGTGCTATTTCAAGAAGGTGCTTGAAAAATATTACTTGCACTTTGATATTAACTTTGCTAAAAATCTGAGTTTCTTGGGAATTATGAGCAACTTTTTCAACTTTTCTGGCAAAAATAAAACATAAAAACGTGGAACTTTGACTGCAACGTATTGAAAAAGGTGCCACAAAATCAAGTAATATTAGGCAACAACAATCATTTTAAAAAATCACAACTTC